CACACAGGTTGTGAATAAGGGAGCCATGGATGATACATCACCAAACCCACAAATACTGTGTTTTCCAGGGCAATTGTATCATCCATGGCGATGCACTGCAGGAAATTTCAGCTTCAAACAAAATTGTAAACACACCCTCTTACGTACAAAGATGTACAAGGTGTTTGCATGGGTATGTTGGGATGATACTGATGATCAACGTTTGCGCAAACACGTTTGGAAATCCTCCGCGCCAATGGACAAATGAACATGCCCATATGGACAGTTGGTGTGGAAAAGACGGGTAGATCAAACGAATACGAACTGCTTGGCTTCATGCTATTCTCAACTCTGGCATTTCAGTTGTTCAAACTGACAAGAACTGAGCAGGCTCAAGAACCATCTTGGATAGGGGTCCTATAAACAGTGAAGAATGAGAAGCCGCTCACCATCGCACCATTCCATGAACAGCAGCCCCTAGTAAAGAAGTACTCGGTTCGCTGCTTCGTGATTTTCGGAAAAGGTGTGGTAGCTAGTTTTCAGACAGCGTGCCAAAGGTGCCTCCATGACTGGGACAGATGGGCGAAGTGGGAACAAAGTGGCATAAACGCCTGCCACCAGCTCACTGAAGCAAAGATGCTGGCAGAAAAAAGGGGTGGCCTGAATGTCCCTGACTTGCAGGAACATGATGTGAATTACGTTTTTCGCTCAAGTCGGCCCTCCACCTTCCCCTAAGCTCCTCCCACACCTGGCATGCTGTCCTTGCATGTTTTTGCCCTGGTGGAACAAAGTGGCATAAATGCCTGCCACCAGCTCACTGAAGCAAAGATGCTGGCAGAAAAAAGGAGTTGCCTGAATGTCCCTATATAATGTGTCTTTGAGAGGGGGATCGAAGGGCACTCCATGGCACTAGTCTATATAGTCACAGAGATGTTCAGTGTCATGAGATTTGATAAACTCATGACATGAACTACTCACTCAGCAAATCTCAGTAAAGTGGGCTTGGTAGAAAGGCGCCCACACATGTAGCTTGGAAGGACATCCACACAGAAGGCGGCACGATGCTTATTAGTGATCGTGGCAATCCTCCTCATTTAGAGTCTTTGGCTGCAAGGTTTGCTGGTAAAGTTGTGCTAGACTGACTGTACCATGCACTATACACCTTGTCCCCGCTAATCCAAAATCATGCATTTGAGAGAGTCCAAGCCTCCATCAGGAAATGGCCAAGATGCTTCAGAGCAAGAACGTGCGCCAATATTTTGTTTTAGGCCAGCTGATTTGGGTGCAACAAGCGAAAGAACTTGCTTGAGATTTGAGATGGTTTTGACACCCTGTGCATACATACGCACACACACATATAAAATACTATAATACTATAAAATCATGTTCAAATTGATATAAAATATATCGAGAGAGAGGGAAAGAGGGGAAGAGAGGGAGACTTAGCAACGAAGTCGATCAGGCTCATCAAGGAATGTGAGCAGAGGGCCGGGCCCAGGGACCTAAAGAATCCCAGTGCATGCCTTCAAACAGGTGGTGATGGCACGCACAAGGGAGCAATGCAGACTTTCGAGTGTACCATGGCGTCTTGGCAGGTTGCCCATGACAAGTTCTGTTGTTTTGACCATTGCAGCAACACAACGGTAGCAGTAATGGTAGTGCCTTAAACATGCCACACTTAGGAGATCGACCACGAATGCGCAGTGGTTGGCGTGCCCAAGACCATTGACAACGATCCTTGGCTTGTCCCATGCCAGCTGGGCAGTGTAGAGCATGGTGGCCATGGCATTTTTACGCTGGACGATTCTTTAAGCTTTGCCTCGTGCGAGCCCAGCCTCTGAGGATGTGCCTATGATCGATCAGACCTTTGGCTTCGACACTGCGTGCACAGAGGCCACTAAGGCAGTGAACTCTGCCTATGTCGAGGCCAAGGGGAATGCCGCTTGGAAAATGCTTGGAAACACGGTGTCGAATGATTGGTTGTGTTGTTCTTTTGGACCCATTGATTTTGAGAAGAACATATCTATAGCCAGCAAAAGGGCCCCGCAAGTTCAACGAACAGGTGTCAGGTGTTCTGCAGCATACACAATACCCAACGCCCTTGAAGCATCCTGACAGATACACCGTCCCATCTTGAGACCATATACTGTCTTGAACTTGAACTGCATCCTGGTTGGAAAACCCTGCGTTTGGACCAAACCTCCCACGCTTCCCCCGACTTTGGCGGCACAGCATCCAAAACCCATCGACAGGGCCCCTCACAAGGCAAGAATCTGTGCTGACTTTGGCATGAGGCCAACTGCATTGGGCTGGTGAAGCTCATGGGGCGACATTGTGGCTTCATTGCGATGAACGCCGCTCTGGCCGCTCGTGATGTCGACGTTTGCCCCTTGCTGGCAGGGGGGTGCCCATGGGCGCCCACGGTAACGGTGTTGAATGACCGCGCGGTCTGAGCCGATTCTGAGCTGCACTCCAATTCGCTCAGGTTTGATTCCTGAAATGGACATCGACTTGGAGAAGGCCGCCCAAACGCCTGCACCAGATTGTGCAAAAGCATTGCGTTGGCGCTTGCCTGGTGAGCATGAGTGCAGGGACTTCCACAAGACCGGGTCGTACCGGTACGGCCGAATCACATCCAATGCGCCAGGTCCTGCAGCACATTGAGCACTTGATGCGCACCAAGGGTCACTGCGTGATAGTTGTGGCGGAGGGATGTGGGGACACTCTCATCCAGAGCTCTGGTGAGAAAGATGCAGGCACGTTTGTCTGGCCAGATCTCAGCCAGGGTATCAGTGACGGTAAAATGCTTTATTGTGTCATACTTGCTGATTTGCACTTGGATCACTGTATCAATTTGTATCGTGATCATGTTGAAATTTAGCCGCTACCCAATTTTTACCTTGGTTTTGTCCCCTTTGCACTCCAATTCGTTGGTCCCATCATGTCCTACCGGGCACAAGGTGAATTTCACTCTGACTGTGTGGCCCCCACAGGTGGCAATAAGATTCTGGCTGATGTGGGCCCATGGTTAAAAGATACCATTACAGCTCGTTTCAAGACCCTTGGGCTGCCATTGACCATCAAGTACATCGATCCCACTTATATGAGTCTTGGTTGATTTGGCTGTGTTGATGCGGCTGTCCAAAAAACTTCCACCGCAATTTCCTTATGAGGAAATTGCATTTTTGTTTATAAGTTCAGGAAATTGTCTTGGATAATCTATGTACTGTATGCTTTCTTAGGATCCGCTCAGTGGCGGCCAACTCCTACGACAGCACCTACTGCTCGGTGCTGGGGCAGATGGCAGTGCATGGAGCCATGGCGGGCTACAGCGGCATCACCGCGCCTTGTCAATGAACGTTTTGTGAGCCAAAACCGTTGGGTTTCGCCATGTTAATATGATGAAGAAGGTGCAAGTGTAGGAGGCGGATCGACACTCCAACTTTCCACAGATTAATGCCTCACATGGTGGAATTGCCCTAGGCAGGCCAATATCAGGATAGGGTACACTGTAGATTGTACTTTGATAGGTTCGGATATCGGGATGTCGCCTCGTGATGCTTGATGCACAATTACGTGGCCTGCCAAGGTGGGTCAAATCTACTCACGTTCCTTGGCTCAATGCTGGAATACGGGGCAACCTTGGCAAAGCAACTATTCATACGCCAAATTGTTCAGAGGGCCTACGGTGGTGTTTGCACTTGCACTTCCCACCTCATTTCGTCGTGCAGCCTTACATCAACAAGCACGCTTGCCAGCATCGCCCGGCAGTAAAAAATGTATATAGTCTTAATTAATGGTTATCCCGTGCTAGTTGCAGATGCCTGACATACGCGAGGCTACTGTTATTTGCCCATCCATGCCATCACCAACCAGCGGGGCAAGCGTCGGGCATCTCAGACAAGAGAGGGAATGAGATGGAGCTCGGAATGATGCACTCCGAGTTGCACTTTGTTGTCATCACGCCAGCCGCATTTTTTGGAACAGAGTCATCCCACGGGTGCCATTGCCTGCCCTTAGTATCCCTTAGTAAGACTACACACTTTGCATTCTGATGCTGATGCTGCAATTGAAATGGGATTGTATAGCTTCTACTGGTATAGCATGGTTTTTGCTACCTTTCCTAGTACTTTACTGTGATGCGAAGGGCATGCACCGTTTTCGCAAGTGACTGATGTCCTCAGAGAAGTCTTCGAGTGTACATAATTTGCCCAGCTGAGGCGTCAATCCAAAGGGCCGCTGGTTCTTCCGCATGCAGGAGGCCACAAAGCAGCCAAACTTCCGCACGGGTGCCCAGGGTGGGCATAGTGGCGTAGCATAGCTTTGATGTGCCTCAAATTGAGCATATGTGCCTGGCTGCGGATTACTGCAAGGACCAGATAACCCAACAGCGCTTCCGCTGCCCACCACGAATGCCGGTGATGTTCTGGAGGCGAGGAGAGCTGGTGGGGTTTGGAGAAGGTTGAAGGATCTCAGACCGTCGCAGCTGGGGACGTGTTTTCGGGAGGGCAAGACAAACAAAGCTACTGCCGGAAAGTGCGTTGCCTGCCGCTGTTTCCTTTTTTGGCTCAGGCTCTAAAGCATGTTGCAGATAAGAATCAAGAGGATCATGAGTGAATACGGCAGCGCATGACTACGTGATGCATGCTGCAAGTTCGTGCAGAATACAATAATGCGGTGAGTGTGGCACCAGCATCGACAAACCACAGCTGCGCCGGACTGCAAGCCGGCCCAGCAAGTTGCACTTTCCTTGCCAAACTTGAGTAGTATATAGGTCTAGCATGGTCTAGCACTTCTACGACTATGGCAGGCTTAGTAAGGGGCAATACCGGCAGAAAAGGTGGCGTCAGACGACCCCATTAGCATCCACTAGCTGCAGGATGCTGCACTTCTGTCCGGAAACACACGTGGAAGTGGGGCATGACAATCACGAATTTAGTAAGCTTAAAAGCACTCATGATTTTACTGGGAACAAGAAGCTATTAGGAACAATAAAGCTGTGCACAATTCAATCGGCAACTCCGGGGGTGTAGGATCTTAGGATCCAGTAGGTCGGAAGACACCGCATGGCCTTGCGGCTCACCGGTGGCCACGGTGGAGGCGCTTGAGGCGCAAGACAAATTGGGGTGACATAGAACCATAGAACATAGAAGGTTTACTGCCACATCGGCACATCCGGAGAGCAAGAACAACTTTGTAGCATTGTAGCAGCATTGTTCTCATCCGCCACAGGACCAAACTTCATGGCCATTTCGAAGTGTTTTCTTGTCGTGTCCGCTTGTGCTAGGGGAAATGGACCTCCGCACACAAGAAGTGCTGGCTGCTTGGGCCAGGAACTTGGACAGAATGAGTCTCAAAACGGGACCCAAGGCAGGGCTCGCTATATGTCCTGTTTTGAACAACACTGAAACATCACCTTTTGTGAGGCAGTTTTTGATTCAATTGGAAGTATCCAGAATCCAGATTAAGACTACAGAAGTCGTGCCTGACCTCTTGTGGTGTGTGCATGCATGGACTCCTGATTGACTATGGAAGTATAGAGATTAATGGATGTCTTTGGAAGTTTGGATGAATGGAAGTATAATGAAATATGCAAACAGATTAATGGAAGTCCACAGATTATATTGATTTGTCAGTGCTTGCGATATTGATTTGTTTGTGGCGTCGGTATTGGCCTGTCTTTGGTTGCAATATTGATCTCCTTTGGTTGCACAATTGATTTGTCAGTGTTGCGATATTAATCTTTTTGTGGCAGCAATGTTGGTCTGTTTCTGGTTGCAATATTGATTTGTGTGTGTGTGCAATTACTCTAGGTGCAAATAAGACGGCGTTGAGTTGATGTCATTTTGAGGGGTTTTGCGCCATCTATTTGTCCCCGACGGGTCTTGAACATAGGGTTATAAGCCGACCAACGAGCGCTGCCCTGGATCCCCCCCCCAAAAAAAGGCCAATCGCAGCTTTGTAGATGGCACAGGAGGAAAATTGATGTTTATATAAAAGGCCTTTAGCCAGGCCTTAGCAGATGGCGCAAGAGAAACACCATCACAGCTTTGTAGATGGCACAGGAGGAAAATTGAGGTTTATAAAAAGGGCCTTTAGCCAGGCCTTAGCAGATGGCGCAAGAGAAACACCATCGCAGCTTTGTAGATAGTTTGTGGAGGTTTTGCTGCGCGCATTTTGCAAAATACAGGATAGAGATGACTCAGCCGCGTACTAAAGTTACTACTGAAAGTTTGGACTTGTGAGCGATGTCACGAGCTCGACATGTCTGTTCGCTGGCCGTTCTGCGCAAGATCGGCCGACTGAGCCAATTCCCCCTTTGAAAAAGGCGCGCCATGGGGTTGCTTTGATTTTGTGTCGAGAGCCGTTCGACACGCACAAAACGAGAAGTCGTACCAGCACAGACTTTGTCGTGAACTACAAAGTCGCCAGTTCTCAGCTTCCAGCTCCACGGCTTGCTCTGCGTACTAGAGTTGTACTGCAAAGTCGCCAGTTCTCAGCTTCCAGCTCCACAGATTGCTCCGCGTACTAAAGTTGCACTACAAAGTCGCCAGTTCTCATCTTCCAGCTCCCCAGACTCCGCTTACTGAAGTTGTTCTACAAAGTCGCCAGTTCTCAGCTTCCAGCTCCACAGATTGCTCCGCGCACTAAAGTTGTACTACAAAGTCGCCAGTTCTCATCTTCCAGCTCCCCAGATGCACTACAAAGTCGCCAG